AACACAATTTCCTTACCAACCCTGTTGTTTCCAATGATAAAAACAGAGAAAAGAAAAACTGCAACAACTGAAATGAGATTCATGCGGAGGGCTCTCAATACAACAAGAAGAGATAGATAAGATCAGAAACAATGAAATCCAAAGGAAAAGCAGCAGCTCTGGATTTAATTAAAAGACAACAGCTGAAATGGTTTGGTCATATAACATAGATGTCGGCAGACTATACTACAGCAAGCAATGATGTAAAAACCAGCCTGGGAGTGAAGAAGAGGCAAAAATAGAAGGAATTGCGGGGTCCCTGGGAATCCCCATTTACGAAGTTCACAAACAGGCACTTCTTCGTAAATTATACTTCACCTGGACACCGCAAGGTACCACATCAAGATAAGATGGGATAAGACTATCCTTTAGGTCAGCAGTTCTCAACCTGCTGGACGTGACACTTTTTTGGGGTCAAATGACCCTTTCACAGGGGTTGCCTAAGACTATCGAAAACACATGTTCATTTAAATTATGAGGAAAATAATTGTTTGGGGGTTGCCACAGCATGAGAGAACTGTACTGAAGGGTCACGGCATTAGGAAGGTTGAGAGACACTGTTCTAGGTGACAGAGCCTCACTAAGGTATTATAATTGTTTTAAAATGTAGGCATACTTAGAGTGCATTGTTACAAACATGTTATTAATGATGCCTGTAATTGTCATTATTGTTATTGTTATTATTATTATTATTATTATTATTATTATTACTATCTTCTTAAACAATGTGTGCATAAATAATGCATGCATGGCGTAAGGCCAGAAGGGCAGAATGTAAGACGGGCCTGTGTGCCCAATTCTTAACCCTTTGAAAATAAAGATTGTTCGTTTGTTCGTTCAATGAAAGCCAGCTATGTTCTGTTATTAAACATTTCATATTTTTCTGATTACATGAAAGATAAGCCTGGGTTTCTAGAGTCTGCCAGGACCAAGGCATAGACTCACCTCCTATGAGTTACCATGACTGTCTCATTGTGGAGTTCATTTATACATCACATAAGCTTTGAAGTCGATTCCTCCGTGCATTTTTATCCTGTGCAATCTTTCTGACATCTTGGATGGAATACAAACTGACACCTTTCACCTCTCCCAACAGTATTCGTTGCAGGTTGTTTCATGTCCCAACTTCTTCAGTCCATCTGTTTCCCATTTCTGTGCCTGACGGTGATTCTCTACCAACTTCTTAGGATGTGCCCAAAAATTTGCCTCTCCTTTCTCTTATGAATGCTGATGAACAATATTAGGTAGTGGAAGCATGATGTCTGTGGGAAATATGAAAAAAAAAATACCATGGACTGACAGACAGACAGACATGAACGGGTAAACTCTTCAGAAACAGCTGCACAATGAAACCTAATTAGAGAAATAAGTCACAGTGCATCAGGACAGGGCTTTATGAGTATAAATAAACCTGGAAACTGACAACTGGCAGGCTTAATGGAAACGTTGCAAGTGGACAACAACATGACAAATATCTGGATAATGTACATGCCATCATTGGGGGGTGGGGTGTCTAAACCTGATCTAACATTGGGGACTGTTTCAGAAGCAAACCACAGGCATATCAGCACAGAGAAACATCAATGTGTAAGTGTTATTAAAATAATTCTATACTGTAGATTTTTATCTGAAAACTAAACTCCAGTCTAGAATATTCTTTAACAAGTTATCATGGCTTTTGGTTTCTTGTAGACAAAACAACCTGACAAAAGTCCACCACGCAGTTTATTTATCAGGTGACACAGCTTGCATATCTTAAAATATTTTCCCTCTCTCACATAAGCATACATACACACACACGCTCGAACACACACAAAACACAAACATCCAACCTCCACTGTTTGCTTTTTATTAGCCTGTCATATCAATTCATGTGTTCATTTTCATCATGTTCTTCTTCTTCACGCTCACTGCCTGTAAGCTCTGGCAAAAAGTTCTGGTTATTCATCCACTTCTGGACTTTCGTCTTTTTTCCAGAACTTTACTTGTGCGTGCATATCCATTTGACAGATCTGGCTTATTTTAGTGCAGAGTATTTGTTCCTCACCTCTCAGGCAGACCAACTCCAACTTCTAAAGAAACATCACTAATTAGCTGACTTTTATGACATGCTTGTTAGGGGGCACTGGGTCTAATCCCCAGCACCACAATGAGGCCCCAGAACCCACACAGGGATTTCTCAAATGGGCTCTTGATTTCCTGCAGATTTTCTCCATTTATGAAGGAAACATTGTTCCTATCTATGTTCGCCAGGTCATTGGATGGCCACAGAGAGGTGTAGACAAGTCAGGACCAGTTTCAGCCCTGGACCTGCTGCACTAGCACGTTTAGTTCAGCCTTCCCCCCCCCTCTCCCTCTGCATCCCAATTCATGTGTTGACGGAGCTGATATGCCCCTCCACAAACAGCTGTTTCACTCTTTCTTTATGATCTACTGTAACTTTTCATCAATTTGTCCAGCATTTGGCACATCAATTTTAATTCACCAATCACAAACCTAGCAGCTATATTTAGCGCAGGTGGCGGTTCGGAACCAGCAAATTATATTTTAAAAAACTGATACAAACCACAAATGAAAACATCTGAATGTCATGTAATGTGTTTAAACTATCCCGGGAACTCCTAGATTTCCTTCCTTTTATTGTGAATTAAAATTGAAGTACCCAGAATTTCGTTTCTGTCTTTTTTATTCTTTACCACCATCATCTTCCTAACTGGCTTAATGTTCTTCAGTCCACCTTTCTGTGCTCACAAAATGACCGAAAATGTCTACCCTTTTCTTTGAAACAATGCAGAGACACTAACAATACACAGTATAGTCTACTGCAGCGGTTCTGAACATTCCTGATGCCGCAACCCTTTAATACAGTTCTTCATGTTTTGGTGACCCAAACTATAAAATTATTGCTACTTCATAACTTCAGTGAATATGTGTTTTCCGATGGTCTTAGGTGACCCCTGTGAAAGGGTCGTTTCACACCCAAAGGGATCGCGACACCACAGGTTGAGAACTGCTGATCCAGTTTGTGATATATTTAACTGAATCACCTCAGACATGTTGGTCAAGGGCTTATATGCCATTAATGAAACAAAGAACAGGAATGTATTCATAATCATACAGTAAAACCTCGTTAACACAAACTTGCTTCAGAAGAACATATGGTCAGCATGAAAATAATTTTGGCCGCATCGCAGCTAGGATGTATTATTTATTATTAGTCCCCAGTGGGTCACAACTTTATGTTTTAACATAAACTCCTGAGTCTTCAGTCCTGTGGAATTTGTGTTAGTTTTATTGTACAATTCATATGGAAATTGTACTTTAAAACTTTGAAGAAGAAACTGGGTGAAGTGAAGAAGTAGAGGATTTGGACATTTGAATATGATTGTTTTTCCTGAATATCCTATATTTAGAATCTGAGTACTTTGGAAGCTTTTTTCTGATTTCTGTAGGTTTCTAGATTTCCTTTAGCCTTTTTTTTTAAAACAAAATGGCAAACCATCAATATACATTTTATGAAAAGATAACTTTTATATCCCTATTAACCCACTGACCACCACGATCGCAGGTTATGCCATCCGCCAACGTTTTCACCTGGCTACCGCGATCAGAACTTTAGATGCTCACTGCCATGTTGTTTGTGACTTTTTGTGATAAAGGTAGTTGAAGCTGTCAGTCCATTAATTTTTGTAATGTTTATTTGAGGGAATCTTCTTCTTCTTCTTCGCGTTCACCAGCTGTAAACTCTGGCGGAAGGTTCTGGTTGCTCGTCCACTACTGAACTGCAGTCCTGCTCCAGAACCTGAGTGTTGCGTGTGCATCAGTTTTACAGATCTCATTCTCTTGAATACAGACTGTTGGTTCCTTGCCTCTCCGGCAGATGCACTCCGACTTCAAAGGAAGCTCCCCAATTAGTCGACTCTTACGACATGCTTTTGGGGAGGCAGTGGGTCTATTCTTGTTTTCCCCATAATGGGGCCCCGGAACCCACACGGGGGATTTGAGGGAATGATTTGGTAGTGCTTAAAGAAAAAAAAAAACTTATGTTGTTGTCTTAAGATTTTTTAGTTGCTTTGTTTGCAACTAATGTACAACCACATGGTAGTGATGCAAAACAAGACTGCAATATTTTTTTTTTTTTTTTAAATTGTTATCTATTCAGTTTGGTACAAAAAATGAAAAAAATATTATGAATTTATGTCAAATAGATGTGAAGCTGTGCCATTTTTAGTATTCATGGTATCTGGAAAAGTGCAAGGGTTAATAGGCTTGGGAGTCAGGGTTATGTTAGTTTGTCAAGGTTCCATTATCCCTGCAGATGTCTCCCTCAACTGCTCCATTCTGTGGCAGAAAAGTGGAAATCACACAAAATGTTTACTGTCCTATCTGAAGACTAGTGAAAAACTTGCCAGTGCGGACACAATCTTAAATCTTACAGTCCGTAACAATCTTAAAGTTAGGTTTGTACGTAATACTCCTGGTACAATTATGTTATTACAATATTATTACATCTCTATTTTGACCATTTTAGTGTCCATTAAATTTTGCTGTGGCACAAACTCTTTATGTATATTTAATAATTATAAGGATATATTTCTTCTGATGTCTGTAATATCGATTCATGCAACATATTCCACTGTTCGTCTATAATCTAGGTTATCTTTACGACAGCTGTGCTACATAATATGCTAATAAAATCAATAAAAACAGTATCTTGCTGATCGATCAGAATCAACAACAATGATAAGATTGAATGTCTTCTATCTCTAGCAGTCAACATATTATATTTATAATTATATATAAATAATTGTTCCCGTCCATTTCATGCAGCATTTTCTATTTAATCTACTACTGTATACTATATAAGCAAACAAATAAAACTTCTGTATACAAAGATATAGTACTGAATGATATGCACACACATAAATATCAACCAATCTGCGTTCGTTGCACAAACTTACCGGCGATAATCCCTTTCAAAGTTTTGGTAGAGGACGGCATCTGGACTTGCTGTTGCTGGGGCGACGCCGCCATCATGTGGGCGTTTGGCCGCAGGAACGGGCTGGTGAATTTGTCAGAATTACGATCCATTTCGTATGAAAATACAGAGTACTCTGATGAAGTTACGAAAATAAGGTGACTACAAGCGAATATTGTCGCACATAATGTCCGTGCCCCGTGCGTGATGGGGGTGAAATCGTACGACTGTCAGCCGGGGAATCAAGCCAACCCGCTACCACACAACAACGCCCTCTATCCACGTGTGCTGCCAGGGGTCAGAGGTCAGCCCCTCTTGCTTAGAGGACATATAAATAAACTTTTTTTTATCATCCTTACGTCCTTTTTAGGACGTAGTTTTTTGTTATTTGAAGCCCCACTCTGGCTCTTGCCAGGGGCCGCAATATAGGCAGGCCATAAATATGGCCAATTGTCTGAACGCGGTTTCTGGGACCTCTCCAAGGTGATCCTCATCCACATGGTGGCACTTTGTGTCATCGAGTGTTTATCGCTTGTGTGATGTCCTGGTGGGGTGTAAAGTCAGTCAGTCAGTCTACTTCTTTCTATGAGTGCCGATTAATACATTGTCTCTTTGTTAATTATATATATATAATAAAGGTTTGCCGCAATGGACCTCCAAAGATCTTTCAAATTGATTGTACACACTAGACAGGCCGACACAATGACAACATTTGGGTAAACATTACGCCAATCTACCCTGAGAGAGTTTGCCCCGCCCATTTACACACTATGTCACTTTTCATTCACAGTTTCTTAGGCTGGTCGACTTTGCTGAAGGTTTCTGATGTGTCTCACTCTATTGTTTGCTTTCTGTGTTGCCTCCCATTTACGTTTTCATTTCGAGAAAGAGAATGCCTGTGACCTAGGTTGCAGCACTCTCGTAGGGAGGTTTTGTTAGGGCCAGTGCTCCATGTTTTAGGAGCGTTAAAAGCGCTGGCGTGCTGAAATATACAACACGTGATGCCAAGGGTATCGAGGAACACCCCTGTAACCTTGTGCGAAGGTGACGAAGCTTAGGAACTACAATCAAAAGTGACCTGAAATTGTGTGCGCCTGGGGGGAGGGGTGGGGGTTGAGCTAATTCCCCCAACCAATAATTTTGTCTGGGCGCTAGGAAAACCATTTGAACAATGTATAAATATTTATCTTTAAAAGTATTCGTTTTATATGAATTTAATATATTTCAGGTGTATTATAATGTTTATTTACAGTTTGACACGTTATTATTATTTTTATTATTAATTTTCTGAAAGCAAATAACAAATATACTTGGTTATATTAAATATATTGTTTTTTAAATATTTTCAAGGGAAATTACATAAATATTTAAAAGTTGCCTCTGAATTTATTAGAGAAAATGGAGGAAAAGGGGGAGGGGAGGGGTCCTCAGCCTAATATTTCTACAATGTAGTGGGGAAGAAAGAAGATTTAAAAAACTGAACCCTCAGATGCCGGCACGATACTCTATAAGTCTGGGGTTCCTTCACCAATCAAGAGTAACGGAACTAGAGGACACAGACCCCTTGAGACCCCCCCCCCCCCCCTTTACCCGACAACATGAAGGAGTTGGGGAGCGGGTGTTATTCTCTATAAGAGGGCCCAGCTGTACCTTAACCTATTTATAGAAGCTATTTTTTGTTTTAAGTGCAGGATTATTTGACTTTACACTTCCGAACATATTTAATATATTATTATATTTATACTGAATGTTAAATATAGAATCAATATCACAGCACTCGAGACACTTCCATAAGCGCTCTGTCCCTGTCTTCAGCAGCATTTGAAGAGTTCCAATTCCGATGGCACTAGTAACTGTCTGTGATTGTATATCCGTCTCGCCTTCCCCTTGTGCGTCGAGCGTCAGCAAGATCCCCTAGTAACTGCCCGCACAGCCATTCTCTCCAGACCGTATTGATCTATTTGTCCCCCTGCACTGTTCACTCGCTTTCAAAGGACCCTCACAACGAGCTTGTCATAATCAGTTTACCACCAAGTGGTGCAGAACCGACTGCTTGCTCGTTTCCCAACACATTGGCATTCCCTGGAGAAATATCCACTGCCCGAAACCTCTGAAGCGATGCTTGCCACTCTGCACTTAGCTTGCCTGTCTCCACCTTTCTCAACAAGCTCTGTGAGTCAGTTATATTTATATTATTTTATATTATAACTTTTTATTATTACACACTTAAACCAGGCCTCAGCCGCCTCCTCCCAAATGACAATAGAAAATATGCTTAGAGTAGATAGCTCTAGGGAACTACAGGGAAGAATTAAACAGTATATCACAAGTCATCATCATGTAGCAGGTCCTTTGCAGAAAGTTGCTCTCATCACAGTCTGCCTGAAAGAAACCCGGTCTCTCGCCAGTTCTCCCGCCTCGTGTACTTTCATACTCAAGGAGTCACTTATATCCTGTGCCTATCTTCGTGTCGGTAGGCCCCTGCCCCTCCTTCCTGGTATCATGCCTTCTGTTATAATTTTGTCCAATCCATCGTGGCGCTTGATATGACCAAAATATTTCAGCTTCCGAGACAGGATGCTATTTATTAGCCAATCTTCCTTGATGTTCAGATCTTTTAAGATGTCAGTATTTCTCCTCTTCTTTTCCCAAGATATTCCGAGAATCTTTCCATAGCATTTCAGCTCAAAAGCCCCTATTCTCTTTCTTAAGGACTGAGAGATAGTTCATGACTCACATCCGTATGAAGCCACAGGGAAGATGCATGCTCTCAAAATTCTAATTTTGATCTCCTTACTGGTGCTTAACCATATACTTTTAAGGCTGTTAAATCTTTTCATTGTTAGGGCTATCCTCCTTTTAATTTCTGTCAGTCTCCATTGCTGTTTATTATAAAGCCTAGATATATATCACAAGTACAGGGGGTTAAAATATGAGATGTTAATATATTTTATTACTGAAGAATGGTACCCCAGATAACTTGAATTATCCACACAGACAGACTATACAATTTAGTTCCTATAATTGTTCGAAAGTACATTTTAAATGTATTGAATGCGACAGCCTATTCTCCCACAATAGTATACAATTAATACATAAACCATGTCATATTACATAACGAGACATAACTTGTAGGCATACATTTTCATCACTGAAACAAACAAAAAAACTCTACACATATCCCAGTTATAACCCGGATGGGTTGATCTGGATATATAGTACTGTTTAATTGATTTGATTCAAGAACCGACATCACAGCACTCGGCACATTCCCATAAGCGCCCCGTCCCTATCTTCAGCAGCCAGCGAAGAGTTCCGATACTAATGGTGCCAGTACCATTTTTATTAAACGTCCGTCTTGCCTTTTTTCTCAGCCTCGAGCGTCTGCCAGAACCTCTCGTAACTATATATTGTTGTTTAAACTACTAATAATACTACTACTACAATTCTTTCATCCAATCCACTAATTTGATATCAAGGTCGCTGAACGCCATTGGCTAGAAGACCCAGGGCTCCATTTTTGGCTGTTTTCGAAGTCGGTTTGAGGGGACGACGACATCTTCTATTGCAGTGTTATGTTTTCTTTCGTCTCTTTCACATGAGGCGGACATTAGGTTATATATAAATTGTGTGCTCATTTAGAGCAGTGTTGGAAAAGTCTTGATTAACTGCGCGATCTTCATATGAAGATTTTGGAAGATTGATTGAGTAAATTTGTTTAATTTGCTCACTCAAATCAAATGGAGTCCCACAGTTGTTGAATTGTTGACAGAGTATAAGTATTGACTCGAAATTCTTCTCTTTTATTAACTGTTTAATTATTTAGGTTACCGAATTTTATTATTTTGATATGCATGATCTTCCCTTACAATTTATTAACATATTTTAAAAATAGTTTATCATTGTACAAATGGTAAACTTAAACATTGTCACTGAATCGAAGTAGTTACTGTAGATACTTTAGTCAAATTTTTAAAATGCCCTTTACACCAATAAAACCAGCACAGTTAGATAGCTGTAAACAATCTCTTTCCAACGGTACCTCATTTAGGCTTGTATGTCATTTCTGAGCTGAGATATGTAGGTTTTTGTGGAGATGAGATGTAAAAAACAGCGGCGCTTCTTTGAATCGTTCCCCAAAATGGCGGCTTTAATATGATGGCGTTCAAAAAGGAGCTAAATTGGCCAATTTCTAGCCATAAAATATCAAAAAATATCCGAATGCGGGGTCAGTTCTATTAAAAATATATGTGCCCGCTCCAAATAACGAAACAAATGCTCTGACAGGGTCTGGGCGATACGTTGCTTGCCGACCTGCTTCTGCGAGTGTGACTCACCGCCGAGCGTATCCCCCGCGCCGCTACGCGCGGCAGGGATGGGGGTTAAACTAGATGGCTGGGACTCACGAGTGGCAGCTACCGCATCTCCTGCAACTTCCTCCAATTACTGTACTCGTGAGTCCCAGGCACTTAGATACGCTCGGCGATGAGTTTAATCGCGTTTGGCGCATGCCAAGTCTGACATCTACTGCTGCTGAATCCTCCAATCGGAAGAACACAGTATTGCTAATCGTTTTCATCGTCTGTAATGTCTCGAAATTGGTCAACGGTCGCTAATATCGTCTGCTAGTATCGTCGTCTGCAGAAACGCTCGAAATTTTTGTCAACGGTCGGTATTTATCGTCTGCTACTAGTACCGTGTGCAATGTTGATAGTGATTGTCAAGTAATCCTAGTTTTGCCGCGATTTGTCCCTTGGCAGACAGTCCGCATTTTAGATATACGGGAACACCGTCGTTCGGATAATTTTGGATATTTTATGGCCAGAATGTGGCATGCCGCCATTTTGGGGAATGGTTTAAAGGAGTGCCAAAACAGCTGCTAAAACTTGTCTCCCAGAAACAAGAAGTTTTCTCTGCGCAACCAAACTGCGCACTTATCGTTTTGGCTTTGTTTGCATTGGACAAGATGGCAGACAATGAGACTGGCTGAGCCAGCGATTGCCTGAAAAATGTGACTGTACATCTACCTAGCCACTGTTCAGAAAGAAATTTTATACACAAATGTAAAATTGGACGGAGAATTCAATTATAACTAGCATTACCAGGACAAGTA